ACCTGTAAGTCCAAGTCGGTTTATAAGTAAAGGCGGTATGAATTGACAATAACAGAAAACCCCCCGAATCTAGAAACGAAAGTATAACAGATCAACATAAAATTATTTTTAATTATGAGAAAATAAAATATCTTTAAAAGTAATACATCTTTTATTACTTATTAAATACTAGTATTTACGCGAACCCTGATATGCATAAGTAAAATATGTCAAGTAATAGAGATAAAAAGACAATATTGTTTCCAATAATATTTACGTGTATACCAAATTTTAGATATTGGAAGATGTATCGAAAAAATATTTGCAAGCCAGAATAAATATATTTACACACAAGAACTTTGTATCAAGTCGGAAAAAATAGCTGTTGCTAGAAGAAAAAGTGAGATAACAGGGATTTTTCCCTGAATACCGTATAAGCAACATCAATTACTGTATCAAACTTTGGTATAACTTTATTATTAGATATCGCACGGATCGATGTACAATTTTCCTATCCAATAATCATCGTAAATAAATCCTATATTAATAAAATTAAATATAATAAATGTGAAAGCGGGTTTGTTTGTTTGTTACCTTAACGGCTTGACCAATCACTATGAAATTTGGTAAAGACATACTATATACAATATATGCAGATCGTATGACTGCCTATTTTTATTTATAAAATAACACATTAACATGGAAAGGTTTTGCTGGAAGAAATCTCTTATTAGAGATAAGCTCGCCTTTATACATTATGTTTATAATGAATTGTAATTACCAGTATGTTTTATGTACAATAAAGAATAAAGAAGAATATATGAGATGGAGATAGAATACGGCTATAGGCTACTTTTTTATCTTAGTCAACAAACATATTCCAATCACATGGACAAAATCGTTAGTATAAGGTAATATTATGATAAGGTAACAAATAAAAATATTATTAATTCATTTATTCTATTAGAGAACTCTTTTTCTTTAAAATCTTTTATTAAATAGACTGAAAAAATTAAAAATTATTAAAAAAATAAAAGATGGCAGCTGTATAGAAAAAGCTAGTTAATTTTGCTATATATTTTTATCTATCTATCCTATTTAAGAGCTGCGCTCTTGTCGGTGGAGCTCTTGCCACTCACTACGATTTTCAGCGAGTCTCTTCACCTCTTGATTCGACACGACACCAACTCCTTCCTTGATTTGCCTGATGTAACTATGTCACGGTCTCCCTCTCCTCCTTCTTCCTTCTATTTTACCTTCTATTATAATGTTCATAAGTTCGTCGTGTCGTATAAATTGTCCCAACATTTTTCCCCTTCTGTCCTCAATAGTTCTAATAATTTGTCTTTTTATATTTTGTGTAAATCAAATAAACCATCTGTTAACGTATTTTTCTTTTATTTGTTATTCATAATGTTTTTCATAAAAATAAATATGTATAATAAATTAAACAAAAAGAAGGTTCGTTTTGAACAGCAGCATCAAAGAGAAGAAAATTAATGCAGAACCAACAAGAGATTGAACGCGTAAATACTTACAGATTGTAAAAAGAATTAACAAATTTTCATTTATTCATTCGTTCAAAATTTATCAGAATTTTAAGAAAAACCTTTTTTTAAGTCAAAAATATATATGTGTAAAGAGTTATATGCTTATGATCATTCATATATACTTACATACACATACATACATTATACATACATACATCATGCATTGGCCGTGCGGTCCTAGCATAGAATAGGCCACCCCTTCATGGCCCTCGTGGGTGACGTAAAAGCCTAAGGTAGGGCGAGAGATGAGCAGCAGCGTCCCCCTTAACATATGTCTAAAGCCTGACTGCGGTTGCCAATCCGCCTGGGAAGTGTAGCAACTACTAGCAAAACCCCCCAAGAAAGACTTATGTTCAGCAGTGGACAATTAAAGGCTAATATGATGATGATGATGATGATGATGGCATCATATATACATACATTACATAAAAAACTTATTAAGGACTGAGAGATGCACAGGTAATGTAAATAAGCAAGAGAACAGAAATAACATTATCCGGAGTTATCCGGAGTACTCATCCCGGATAACCCCGATGACCCGGGTACTTAAACAAAAAGGCAAAGAAAATACATGCAAAATACTGAACTACAAACAAAGATGAATCTTATTTATTTATATTATCAACTGAGTAAGCTTTACAGTTTCCGTTACAATACGTTCACTCAGGAAAGCATCAGTACAGTAATACATATGTATAATTAAATGTAATAATATTAATTACATTTAAATCACTTAACAATTATATCTTAAATCTCAGAACAAAAACACTTTATGATCATCCGACGATACTCCAGCAAGTTGGAGGCAAACATGTCCCAATGATGCTCAACTGCTCAATGAATCTTGAATATTTTTGTAGCTTATCCATACCAGAAGTTCTAATATTGAAATAACTAATATTTAAAAAAAGTCAGAAACCATAAGCAATTATTAATTACTAGCAGAATTAAACAATTAGAAAACCTCAATAAAAGGTTATTCACATGATTTCTCAAATAATAAATATCGTGTCAAAAAAATACAACTTCAATTGTGACAAAACCAATTATTTTGATCTAAAAACTAAACTTCTAAACAGATTTTAATAACAATTCCATGAAAACAATCTGTAAATAGATATATGTACATACACATATGATTAACTACTGCATACTCGACTACTTGTTTTTATTTAGAGACTTCAATAGATGTGACTGAACACTTTTCTTAAAAGTAAATTTATTCACAAGACCTACCCTGTAATATTGTCATATCCACTCTTCAAATAGAAACACAATCATACTTGCACAATATTTCACGGTAGAAATACGACAGAGACAGAGATAGACAAGATTGTTCAAGTATTAATCAAGAGTATTCAAGTAGACGAATTTTATTCAAAGCCTCTCTCTGTTAAATAAAATACATATTTGTGTATTTTGCCGTATTCATCCTATGACGTTTCATCATATTGATAACATTCCATTAATTACCTGAGCTTGAACGGGAGAGGGGTTTGGCAAAATCTCATCTACAGAAGGAGAGTCTATAAAAGGAAAAGAATAGGAAAATCTTGCATCGATTTTTTATTTTCCTTTCATTTCACTGCAATACATATTATAAATAATGAAGCAAAATATAACATAGGGTCTAAAATTGTTGCTGGCCATTCATGTTTACCACGCAAACAACGGTGACCACTTTCAATGGGCTGGGCCGTCGACTTATTCGATTTAATTAAATGATTAAAAAAACTTAAATTAAAAAACTTAATTAAAAATCAATCTTTAATTATAAATATTTATATTTTTTACACATATAATACATCGAAACGTCGGTAATCATAAAAATCAGTTATGTATTTATGTTAGATACACATACATTTACTGTAATTGTGTGGCATTAAGTCTCGGTAATTAATTTAAATAAATGATTACATAAAATCTCATATGTACATCTCATAAAATGGAATAAAGGTTCCACCAAAACACACGATATATACATTACAAAAGAAACATACACCTAATCAAAGGTTCTCAACCTTAAAGTGCATATTCATTAACAGCATAATATGTAAAATAACGTGTAAAGTAATTAAAAAACAAACGATATGTATATAACTACGTATAAAATATGACAGTTAATACGTGTCTACCTCTATGTGAAATATTTAACAAGATCTGGTACCACGAAAGGTGTCTCTATCTGTAAGCAAAGTTACGATAGGATTGACACATTTATGTTTAATTACATATAACTATAATAATAAATTGCCCATCCTAGTTTTAACCATTAAGTATTTACAAGTATAAAGTATGTATATAACTTTACACTTCTTTCTAAAAATCACACATAATAATTGAAGTTAGACGGATTTTAGATTCATATCTATATACATGTTACTGCAAAAATCAGAACATTGATAAATTTTACAAGTAAATCTAACATAAGTTAGTAAATGCAAGGATTTTATAAAAAGAAAATCATTTTTGAGGTCTTCGCCAAACCAACCCTAATCTACCTTTCTGACCATGAATACGAGCACCACAAACTAATCAATTCGTAAGGTTATGCCTATTTTTTAACATTTACCACGTTTCTGATGTAATTATAAAACATTTTAGATTTACCATAATTCTGATTTTTACAGTAACTGATATAATAATTGGATTAGAAATGTCTAGTACGTGGTGTTCCTACTCATAGTCAGAAAGATAGGTTAGATTATAGTTTGGAGAAAACCCGAAAAGGTTTTTTTTTTATAAAATCCCTACATTTACCAACTCATCTTGGTGAATTCCAAGATTCACTGGTAAAACCTGACATTTACCAATATGCAATAACATATACATACGTTGAATGTCTTTGTATATTTCTTAAATAACACAATAATGAATATAAATACTCCGTTCCTTCTCCCAGTTCCTTACTGATTTATATTATAATAAGATTCAGCGTATTTGAATATCCACGAAAATACACCGCCTGTAAATCTTTGAATATATCAAAGAATGCCACGCAAATAGTTGTTAGTTTTCTCTGCTAAAGTAACCGTATAATCCTTTGCTCGAATCTTTTATATTACGTAATATAATTTTCCGACCACAGAATATAGATCTACCGATTGCTACAGCATCTTTCTGCCATACGTAGTCAGAACCCAAAGCGTAATTCTTTATTCTAAAAATATAAAAATAAAAAACTTAAATGCCCTTAAATACTAAAAACAGCGATGACAGAGTTGATAAACATTTTTAATCTGTGAGCTGTAGAGGGTATTAATAAAAAACTAAGTATTTTGTTCAAAAACTTTACAGCTTGCGTATACATACATAATATATTAATTATGCTTTCTTAAATTATTAATACACCGTTTTTTTTTTCGTCAAAAATAAAACTTATATAAAATAAAATATAAAACCGCATGGTCGTCTAGAAGTTTCGCAACATTCAAAAGAGTTTGTCAACGCTGTAATCGCTGATAAACTTACCTGATCTCAAATCGAAAGGCATGTTCAAGCGTGAAAATCGCCCCTCCCGTACAGCTTCCTCCCGATCACAAATGTGTCCCACCACCCCGCGACATTGCACGACACCTAATGCATGCACTCACACACACAACACAAACACTAGACTAACAACACTTGCTTCGTTGTATGGAATAACACAGTACTGTCAAATGTTGTATATCATCATGACGTAAGATCTCGTGAAAAACGGTTGAGGACGGCTGAAAGCGACGTAGCGACCGCGGCGCGGCGAGGTCACTTCTGCCGTTGGATGCGGCGCGCGCCGACAGCGCCCCCCGTTGCCATGACAACATTCCCGGGCTATATCAGCCCTCCTCTTTGGTGAACAAAAACAAAAATAGCAAATTAATTGCGTAATCGTGAGCCGTGAAAATTTTGCTAAGGTTAATTAGTACATCAAAGGGGTGGTGGGTAAGCTAAAAATGGCCAACGATCGCCAGCGATAAGGTATGTTTTATTACCAATTTATTAGACATCGTCACCTCTATATGCCACGACTCGGTCCTTTCTATCCATTGTTTCAGCACTATTATAAGACTTAGATGTGTACTACCAATGCAGGCTTTGTGAGTTCGTTCTGTATCATAATTTCACATAGCTCTCTGTATATAAATTATAAAGAAAATTATGAGGTAAAAAAATTTCAAAATTTTTAATATAAAATTATGGTTGCCTTAAAAAGTACGATATTAATAATTTATAACCGAGATAATTAAAATATTTATGTACTTAGCCCGTAGTGAATGGTAGGATTGATGGTGGGATTGGGTGAAGGATGGGATATAGCAATGAAATTACAGAATATAAAGGCATATCATCTTAGTTCACTTGAGTGACAACGCATGAATACGGTACCATGTATAATCTCTTATTTTCATGATACTGTTCATGTATATAGGTGATCGTTACTACTTTCCAATAGTCTGGGTCGTCAGCTTGTTTTCACTCTAAGTTGCATAAAAAATATCTACTTATTATGTATTTCATATTAAGTTACTATTTATTAATAAATTGAACTATCTGTTATAAAATTTACATATTTCCAATTTTAATGGAAACTTTAATGAAATCTTTTCAATTCATTAAACAAAGTTTGTTAATGTTAGTAAGTATGCAATATCATATAAACACTTCGTGATATATTAGTTGTGCACTAACAAAACTTTTCATGCATAATTTTCCAAGTTTTAATGAAAATTGTGGTCGCCTTGAAAATTGAGCGCTACATTATAATACCCCTAACTGAGATAGTGCCTTTTACCCTTGACAACGGTTAACACGTTTTCGTAAGTAATTATACGATTATATACTGTGTATTCGCTCATACATTTTCTGTATTAATTTTGTATTACACATTTAATTAAACAAATCGTTTCGTTTATCTATTAACTTAGTATATACCTATTTTCTTAATAGAAATATAAAAAGTGTTAGGAATTTCAAGTTTACTTTTTCTATACATCTTTGTAAATCTACAGCGTCCGTAAATTGCAGACCGATTTCAATGATTTTAATGATTTTTTGCACAAATCACATATTGGGTGGTAAACAGAGTAGAAAGGCTATATATGCTCTTTAAACTAAATTCTAAGTAAAGTCCTTAAAATATATACATCATATCAACCCCAGTTAGGTAAGTCAGTATACTCTACCCATGCACTAAATTTCCTTCGAATCTATTCAGCTGTTTGAGCGTAGTTCAGTAACAAACATCCAAACATATTTACAAACATTCACATTTATAATATCGGGACTCCCACCAGTCAATAATCTTTTCAGTTCAATTTATTGTGAATTCATGACTGGAAGAATCCATTTATCCTACATTTCATTGTTTGTCACTGACGACATTTTTCCTTATTCATCCGATAGAATTGTTTTTCGATCTTTCTTCATCCCCTCACAATAACGATTGAAAAATACAAAGATACGTGTACAGTCTGACAAGAGAGTTTCTTCATATCTCCTTAATAAATAAATAAATGGCTAATTTCTCCTAATAATATATTAGTATCTTTATTTTAGGAATGTTTTTATGTATATAATTTAGCATATTATACTAAAATATAAATAATTTTATTTTTTAAACTGCCTGTAACTGTATCTTTACATAACCTTAAGGTTGACTGGTAGATAACAATAAGTTCGCCTTTTGTACCACATTTTATTGGAGAGAATATATTAATATTTTTGGTTAATATAATACTAGTTATAATATTAGTTAATATATATATATATATATATATATATATATATATATATATATATATATATATATATATATATATATATATATATATAGTGTATATCATTAATTTATTTATTTAAATTTATTGACTAATAAACTGTGGTACAAAAGACGAACTTAATGTTATAGGTATTCTCTGCCAGTCAACCTTAAGGTTATGCAGAAATACACGAAGAAAGTTTCAAAAATAAAATTATATACATTTATAAGTATAATATGATATATGTTTGAAACTTATCGTAGTTAAGAGATATAACATTTGATTTAATAAAAAAAAATATAATTTTATATTATATAGAAATGTAGCTTCCCTTTGTGTTTTCTACCTCTTATTCCATGTGGAATACTCAGAAGTTCATTCCCCTATTCCAACTTCTCCATGGCCAACGAATGCATCCATACACAATATGTACAAATAAGTTTGCCAACTCTTACATTAACTGTACCGTAACAATATGGAATTGCCTTTCCCATGACGCATTTTCTTTGTTCTATAACATCGGATCCCGAAAATGTAGCGTTAAAATTACTTATTAAGTCGGCATAGTGCGACCAATCGTTGAGAGTAGAACGCTCTCTTTTCGGTTGGTCCTATTCATGGACTATGCCGTCTCTGTGTTCACTCAGGATAGTAAAGTTTTTTTTATATTAGTTAGAATGACAAACAAGCTGACGGCTCACCTGATGAAAAGTGCTTACTGTTTCGCCCATGATACCTCCCATGCGTTGCCATTCCTGAGAATTCAGGTGTTATTCCTCTGTACCATGTAAATTCACTGTCATATCCCACTCTTCAAACTGAAATACAGTCATGCAAACATAACTACTTCACGGTAAAAACACGAATGGGACAGAGGTGCTGCTTGGGCACGCAACGACTTTATAAAGTATCTCTCTGGTTTGGAAGTTACATGTATTGCTATACCTAATAAAAAGAAAACCAACATAATATCTATTCAGTTTGTAATAAATAAGAAATAATAAGCTTAAAAGGATGACATATCTTGGGACGGATACGGAACCTCACAGAATACCTAATAGTTATGCCAAGGGCAATGAATGAGAGTCCCTTACATGTCCGCCATGAATATTCAAGCATACCTATACATTGTAGATATATAGAGAGAAGAGGCTTTGTTTGCATTATACTTTAATATATGATATGTATACTTATACCGCTGGGCATAGGCATAGTTTATTGCCATGGGGTAGATAAAGAACTATCATTTTCGGTTCAGTATCACATAGATAAGCCAAATTTCAAAAATTCTTTAAACAGTTTTTATTTCGTCACAATTTTAATTTATAACAGATGTTCCTGCGACTTTGCCTGCGTGTGTGTCAATGTATAAATTATCCTATGTATTATGTTAGAATATAAAGTGCCCGTGTGCACAATTTCATTCAAACTGTTCAGCCGATTAAGCATGATTGAGTAATCCATCAAAACATACATCCTTAGAAACTTTCGCATTTTTTTAACATTAAACTTCCTTATTTATAAAACCTTAAAAATCAAATATATAAGTGTTATTTTTTTAATTTTTTTTTGATAGACTGAAATTAAAATCGTTAGCATCCTATGAAGTGTTCTACCTATTTTCACCGAAGAAATGGGGGTCAAAAATTACTTTATTCTTAATTTAACTCAATTAGTAGATAAATTTTAAGAAGTACTGAATTTTATATAATTATATATATATATATATATATATATATATATATATAACAGTTATATGATTATCTTCAAGTAAATCGATTAAAATATACTTTACCAAAACTTCCACGCTTATTTTTACACCCTTAGGGGCCGTGTTTCGATAATTTTTCTTAGTGCTTATGTAGATATAAAAAAGAAATCTACTGTTTAAATTTGGTAATTCTAGCTTTTATACTTAGGGCTGTGTGTTGATGAGCCTCTATATTTTTCTCTTTATATTAATTAACTTAATAACATTAAATTTATAATTAGTTAATATAATTTTTAATCTTTTTTGTAGTCTTTGTTTATCCTATTAATTTCCATAACTATAGTAATTACTTCCTTAAAAAGCAATTCCAACCATAGTCTATCTGAATTAACCTAGACAGTTGGCTATTTAAAACTCGGTGGGGAGAAAATATGAGACTTTTCCGTCGTCCTAGATAATTAACTAGGTGTAAAATTGGGTTGGCTGGCTTATATAGCGGCTGGCTTTAATATATTATGAAAATATAAATTTGCTAAGTAAACAAGGTCGTACTAAAATTACACGGGCTTTTTCCCTGAGTCACTTTACAAGTAAACTTCAAAATTACTTAGAAACTTTTGAATTTTATTAATTAGGGTCCGCTTGCGGCAACACCGTAAATACTTACTAATACCAGTTCTGTCGAGAGCTTAGAGAAAACGTGAGAATAATAATAATATTAGAAAACTTGAAAACACGGACGGCAGAGGTTTTCAAAGTGGGAGGCAGCACCTCTCATGTAAACGGTCGCAAATGAGATTTTGCGCAGAGGTGGACGCAAGCCATCTGTGCAATAAGGCGCATTGGTCAAATATTAAAACTTCAAATTAAATTCATAAGTGTACGGAGCCACACGTTTGAATGTTTTTGAGAAAAGCAATCTGCATTAGTTTGGGAACTCGTTGGCCACAGGAAACTTTCATCTGCCTAACAATACCTGAAATCGTAATAGTAATTAGTAAGTACTTAAAATGTTTTGTTAATTTGGTTTGCCTCGTTCTTTTTGACTAGTTAGAATTAAAGTTTTAAAAGCTAGCAAGCCATAATCTTTTCACACTTTCAATAAAATAATACGGAAGATTATTCGAGAAATGGTCATTAAAGTTAAAGTCACAGTCAAAAAATTAATTTAGTATTAAATAATAATAAATGTTACCTATATTTTCTGTATATCTTATAATATCCACATGCGACATTTTTTCACCAACACATAAGTAATTGGGTAGATTAAAATGTATTAAATTGAATTTCGTATGCACCCAATTATTATTAGCTTTAGGCTTCTGTTACGCTTCTGATACTCGTGTGTGGCTCTTAT